AAAACGTTTGAGTTTTGATGCATCAATGACAAAAATGTTGTTCAATGCAATTTGGTATTTTCATGATATTCAGGTAAAAAGTTGACTTGCCTTTGAATGTGTTTGTGATGTGTGCCACTGAGGTGGCTTTCGTGAACACCTGGTACCATCACTTTTTTATATTGATTCATAAACATTGGATCATAATACAGTTGGAATCATACAATCAACAATGTAGACTCACATTTAGTCTCTGAATATATATAATTCTGATAGTAACAAAAAAAACAGTTTATATCAAATAGGAGCCCCAGTGAGATGGGAGATTCAGACTATCGACTATGCTTTTAGCAGAGTTTTCTTGAGACAATTAAAATGGTTCGGTTACTTTTATCAAAATTGTAATGATGGCAATGACGGTTATGATAATTTCATTCTTAGTTCCCTTACAATTACTGTCAAATTAACAGTGTTCAGTAATATTTTCACATATGATCTTTTTTAATATAAACAGTGAGTATCTGGGAAAAAGGGGTCAGCACCTTCAATTACGATGATGGTCACTTACAAGAGCCACACCAATGATCTCTTTGTCCTAAGTTGATTACACAGTTTCCCACTGAAGGGAAGAGCACCTTCAAAGTTATCATGACGTAACATTCTTGACTGAAAGATTGTCACCATAAATCAGACTTGTTTCTTGAATAATTCTTGAAATATTTATCATTGTTTAACCTCAAACAAGTAAAATTATATTATTTGACATTAAAGGCCTTTAATGGTTGACTTCTTCCATATTTATGAGATATTTCAGGAAGGATTATATTTCAGGGAAAGAAACAAGTGGTTACAAATGACATGTTGCCATTAAGAAAATCACAGTCAGTACAATGATACAAATAAAATAAAAATATGACACAATGTTTTACCCAAATTTGAAGAGAACTGTTAGTTTTTATAAGATTCCATAATCTTGGACTTGAAAAACATCTATGGACACAGTAATACAATGATTTGCAAGGTTTTAAAACATGCATACTTGTCCAAAATAAATATTTGGTATTGTCATCATCAACAATAAGAGACAAAAATATATTGCAATAAATAACTTAAGGACATATGCAACAGAAACTGCTATTCATCAATCTTATATTTCACATCATATACAAACTGTGCCATATCTAGAGGCTATTGCCAAAAATGCTTTAAACAGGAACAGGTGAGGTGAGGTTGAATGGGTTTTAAAGTCATGTTCCAGATTTTTGCACTTAGAGTGAGTGAGTTTGGTTTTACACCACTTTTAGCAATAATACACCAAGACTGACTGACTGAGTTTGGTTTTATGCCGCTTTTAGCAATATTCCAGCAACATCACGGAGGGGGACACCAGAAATGGGCTTCACACATTGTACCCATGTGGGGATTCGAACCCGGGTCTTCGGCGTGACGAGCCAACGCTTTAACCATTAGGCTACCCCACCGCCCCTAATACACCAAGAACCAGGCAGGGTAACAAGTAATATCTTTTGGTAAGACTTAGCCAGAAACTGAACCACCAACCTTCAGTATCTGGGCAGATTCTTTATCTTGTGTACCACAGTAGTGGTGTAGACAGGAACGGTCTCTAGTTGACTGACACAGGTAACATGCAATAAGGTCCAAAACTACAGCAACAAAACTAACATTCGTTTTCTTAGACCGGTTTCCAGAGAATTGGGCACCATTCAAGAACAATAACGACAAACCACTTCCCACATTCTCTTGAAAAAGTTTTGTGTCTAAAAATTGTCAGTACTTTTTCCCCATTTGGCAAAACTATCGTATTCCATGAAAAATAGAATTCTATTTTATAACTGAAGAAAGAGAACAATAAACATTAACTCTAAATCTGGTTCATTTCAAAGTCGAGACAGATTATGACCGGCAATAGAAGAAACACTGTTGGCTCACTTGCTAACGGGCCATGACAAACCTCTCGTTTAACACAGGTCTCAATTATACACTAATATCATCAACCAAGGATGAAAAATAGAAACATCTTAACGACACTAAATCCAGACACATTGTTTGAAACATCCTAGCAAAAAAGATTTTGTTCAAGAAAAGCTTGTAAATGAAGGGATGAGAAAACAAATTTTTTGCTTCTTTCACAAAAATCCATAAACCGACAATGCTGTATTTTGCCAATGTTGGCACAGAGGATACTGCGACAATTACAGAGATGAGCAGCATCTTTATTCTACTGATGCAGGGGCTGATCCTGTCAAACACTGACTGTGAGACAAGGATTACTGTGTTTACTATCTGCGATCTTCACACCTTTACCCCCTCACAAAACTTGGAACAAACACTGCATATTAACATTATAAACAGAACTGGCATAGCTATGCCAGGAAAAACTCATGTTAAGGCAATGACAAATTTATTAAAAGATTTTTCTGTTACTTAGAAGAGAATGGATGGGTTTGTTTTTCCTTTTCATCTTTTCTAATTTCATCAACAGAAGACAAAGATCTTACAACTACCAAGGAGTCGCCATGATTTATTAAATACTTTAATTAGAAATGTTTAGTGTATTCTAATGCAGTTACATGTTGGATTTGGAGGGTCAAGCAGTTCGCATCTCTGGAAAATGTGGGTCTGTTTTGTGCACTCATTTATGACATACTTTTTATCCTTTGTATAACAAATGATTGTGGGCTATGTTATAACAAAGAGAATGGAACTTATTGAGTTGAATATTTTCTGCTATGTAAACCATTATGATGACATTATATAATTGATTCTTAGCCAGGAATTCACTGGGCATTCTGAATGTGCATTCATAGAAATTCTACATCACCTGTAACATGGTTGAAGTCAGAGAAAGCACTTGAATATCCTTTTAAAACTCTGGGATTCTAGACCTGGAATCAACAGATTGTTATGATTTTTCCATTATGGAATAACTATGTTCGATTACACATCAAACTGACAGTAAATAATTATAAACATACCTCAAAGTGAGTGAGTGAGTCTGGTTTTATGCTGAGTTTAGCAATATTCCAGCAATATCATGACAGGGCACACTGGAAATTGGCTGCACACATTGCACACATGGGGAATTAAACCAATTGTAATACAAATCAATAATATTGATTTGAATCTGTGATCGTTTGTTAAACAACTTTTATGCTAAAATGAATAAAATTCTGAGATTCAAATGTTCAATTGGCAAGGTAAAATTATGAGGATTCGAAGTCTTAATTTCACTTTATTTGATTTCCTTTTTTGTTTAAAGTGAAATCCATAGGTATGTTTTCACTGCAAACAGACTATAAACCCTAACGCATTCTCAATTGAGAGTTTGTAACTAGACTGATATTGAACCAATACCTGTTCAAACTTGATATTGAGAGTTATTTTCAATATATTTCCTTGAATTACCTTGTTTGTTAACATTTGGGTTAATACATTCATAGCACCAATTTATGGTCATTCAGTTCTAATGAAAGGACAGAATACACAAGGAAGAAACCTACCAATTAGAAATAGACTAAACTGTTCATGACATGTTGAAAAATGAAACCTAAAATAACTAAGGGTATCATCCAAATGGTACACTGACTTTTCAATAAATTCACCAAAAATGATTACATACATTTCAAAATCATTCTGTGTAATTGTATTCATTAATATGGGAAAACTAAGTACCATTTATTCTTAAAATTACTGAAAAGATAACAGCAATAGGCAAATGTTCACTGACCACCTAAAATCTTTAAATGGCATGCAGATGAATACTTTACTTGCCTCTGCATGTGTTTGTGATGGTGCCACCAGTGGGGCAGGATACGGAAACACCTTGCATCACTGTTTGATAGTGATTCATAAACACATGTCTATCACAGAATCATAAATAGAACTATCATATTATTACGGAAAGAGCTTTGTTGCTAATGATAAACAAGAAAAAACAATGATGTTCTCAGCTAGAAAAACATCCCTTCTTAAATCTAGCTGGATAGTATTGGTATCCTCCGAACAACCAAATTATTTGTTGATTTTCAGATAAATTATCAATTGGTGATGAAACAGGTATATTATTATCATTGAATATACTGATTGAGAGGCCATTTGGAACTCAGACATTTTGCAGTCAAAAAGCAGATATAAATATGTTTTTCAAATATAGATTCAACATTTAAAAAAGTCATTATAGTGTATGTTAAATTTTCCTTTGTGAATAATATTTGTTTAATATTTTTTAGCAATGTAAATCTAAATTGCACTCTTCAATCAATGCTTTTCCAATGTATGGTCATAAATATTTGAGACTTCGACAATAACACTCAGAGTGAAAAAATAACTGGTATTAATGATGTGGGGAAGGGGATGTTGGCAATCAGTCCCAATTTTCTTCTCATACTCCATAATGATAATATAATCATGAATAATGAATGATGATAATTTTTATGGATATACAACTTCTTTATTCTGTTCACATTAAGCTCTCACAGAATAAAGAAGTTGTATATTCATTAAAAATATCATCATTCTTCATCAACTCAACGTCTAAAATACCCATCAAAGATAATCATTAATACTTTAAAGCCTTGGGCCAACACAGACTGGTTGGCTGGAACTGAAATATTGTCAGTCAGTGTAACATAAGAAACAGGAAAGTCAACAACCGACATCATCTTCAGATACATCCCCAGATTCATCAATGTAATGACATGCTCGTAATGACATGTTAGCCCCTGTTACTTATACACCTTGATGAACACTGCAGTGATGCTTTTGAATGACTTAAGAATGTGTGGATACTCTTTTGTGTGCATGGAAAAAACACAGGGCTGAGACTGACATGTCTTTCAACACATTTTATGATCAATGGAAGAAAATGAATGGCTGGCTGTGGTCACAGGTAGACATAGAAAAATACTGTGTTTGTCGTACTCCTGCTGATAAGGATGTACTAAGATGTCACTGGGTGATTAATCCCGAGACATCTTGTATCAAGCATTGAAAGTCGTTACCTGCGTCAGGTGAGAGGCCGGTGATGATGAATAGCACAACTGAACTAAATACACCTTCCTCCTTCGCCACACTGTTATAATCCAATACAGAATGAAGGATGACCATGGGTAGAGTTGTCCTGTGTAAAATCCAAGGACATGCAGCTCATCCAAAACAGCTTGTCCCCAATACATTCACCCATCCATCAAAAGTGGCTCATGTCAGTTCACACATGTGCACATCCTTTCCCCCTCTGTTGACACAGTAGCCAAGTCCACACACACATATGGCTGAGTCTATTGAATGTAATGGGGAAGGAAGGTGTGGAACTGGCCAAACTTGTTTGAAGATCCTTGTGTTTGTACACAAGACTCACTTAGCTAAAGAAGCTGAGTTGAGATCAGTCGAGCGTTCACAAGACAATCTCCTTCAAGCAATCCTCGACATTCCATCATACAAAATGTGATGTCCTCTCAATACTAAACAACACAGGGATTCATGACACATTGTGACAAAAGCACAATGCAGTTTTTATCAGTAACGCACATTGAATAGGTTATTGGTCACTTAACCCAAGAGCACAAATTGTAGAGCAACTTTTATTGCCTTGCTTGAATGCAAGTGAATAATATACCGTATCACTCCCTGTCTGACGGACAGACTTCGAAACTGTTGTACTGAGAATATACTCTACAATTAATCCTTCAATAATACACTGTCAGCTCAGTATATCAGCTGGACATAGGGACTCCTTCATGTTCAAGCCTCCTACAGGTTCGAGTTGTGTTGATTGTTCCTGAGTCAATATTTTGGCAACATGTTCCAGTGTCAATATTGTGTCTAGAAACCTGTGAAAATAATATCAGAAAACCAGGAATCCATAGTTCATGTATTTTTATGTGATCTAAAATCAGCTTTGAATACCAGTACATCAGAAACGGTCATGTGATTTGTCATTTGAAAATTTATGTGCCCTAAGTTTTTGGTGTGCTTTAGGTTATGTATCTTATCTGACCTCTCGTTATTACCAGACTGTTAATTGACAGTATTGTTGTCACTTTACTTGTTAAATATCCACCACAAACACACATAAATCAATCACCAGTTCATCAACACATCAAAGCATTGGTATCATGTCGATATTATGAGAAAGTCTGCTGTTTGATGAGTCAAAGTAGCAATCTCAACATGGCTGACATTGAGAATTATGTGGATTATTACCAGGTGATTGATTTATTGAAGATGAAAGTCTGACAAGGGTCATGAAGGTTATACACGGATGAGAATAAGAGTTAGTGAGTGAGTATGGTTTTACTCCGCTTTTAACAATATTCAAGGAATATCAGCAGGGGACACCAGAAATAGGCTTAACACATTGTACCCGTGTTGGGGAATGAACCCGGTTGTGTTGCATCACAAGTGAACACTTTTACCACTAGGCTACCCCACCACCCCAGAGAACATGCTAAATATATTTGAATATTTGAGCACATTTTTTGTGCAGTAAATGAGAGTCAAAACAATAAACAATACATTTTCATTATGGATGCCAAAATATCTAATTTGATTAAGAAAATGGATTTTTCAGCAAAATTCTCGCATGTGCATGAACCAAACCATAAGTACAATGTATGATAAAAAACATACATTGACATCATCAATAATTTATCAGCCATGTGGTGGTAGGCCAGTTTCAGAGTTATTATTATCATAAAGTTTACTTAATGTAATTGATACTTAAATTGACAGACTCTGTAAGCTAGCATTTTTTTATTGTTTTTTTTCTTCAAAATATTGACATTAAAGAATCATACCACACCACATGCAATGTTTTTCGGGTTGTTTGTTTTGTAAACATATCATAAACATACTTGATATAATCATCATCATATGATACAGCTAATGTTTGTGAACAATGTTTGTCAATCCAGGTGAACATAAGGCAGAACAAACTTCCTCAAATATATGTTCTGAACTATCATGCAACTTCACACAGGTACAAAATGGCTGAGGAGTTAATGAGGAAAGATTTCAGTTTAAAATCAGCTTATGTAACAGCAAAGTTTTAAAGGCTGGTACCCTGTAAGGCTAGGTTCAAGCCAAGTTTCACACTTAAAAGACCTTGAGTTGTCAGATGTTGTAAAGTGTAAACATTTACACCAAACAGATAGTATGAAGCATATGATCACTCTTACAATCTGTAATCAAACTACAAATGTATTACATGATGTCATCGCATCCCATTTGTGTAGATCGTTGCACATGCTGTTGATCACTGGTTTGTCTGGTCCAGACTCGATTATTTACAAACTCTCGCAATATAGCTGGAATATTGCTGAGTGCGGCGTAAAACAAACAAACAAACAAACAAATTTTTAAACATCTAATTCAGATTAATATCAATTTCTTCCATGTTCGTAAACATCTGTTTTTACTGTAACATGTACTTTTAGATTTAGGCAAGACTCCATGTGGACATCCAAATGTCTCACACCTGGCACAGGTATGCTGCTTGTCACCCCCCTGGAACTGTCAGTCCTCGGCCAATTAATCCATGTTACTGACACCTAGGTGCTGATGGGTCTTTAATGAGGGCCTAGGGGCTTAGTAGGACTTGCATACCACATGGTATTATACACATCACTGGGTGAGGGGGATTGGAAGGGATTGAGGCCACTGGGCACATGAGAAGGGCAGGGTGAGGGAAAATATGTGAGTTATCAAGGACAGTGAAAAACACTAGATGGCTACAAGGTTGTAAATTTATCAGGTACCCAGCTCTGTAATCTTGAAGGACATGGGAAAATGTTTGACTGGGCCTTTTTTCATGATCCTTGCAAACCTTTTTTTTAAATCACATTTTCTTTCATTCATCAATCATTAGAAACTGATATTTAGTCTTTGAAATGAATTTGTTTTATAAATTATCTTAAAAATATAACCAAAAGTGGCTAAGAAAATAATTTAATTTCCGGAAGGGATCTACATTTGCCAAAGTATTGTAGACTTCCTTTCACATATTTGTTTTTAGGCTCGATCTGTTTTGAGAAACGTAACTCATTTAATTCATCAATATCCATAACCCCTCTCAGTATGGTTTATTTTGTCATGATCCTTTTCACTTCATGAAAAGGGGCGGTGGGGTAGCCTAGTGGTTAAAGCGTTCGCTCATCACACCAAAGGCTGGGTTTGATTCCCCACATGGGGACAATGTGTAAAGCTCATTTCTGGTGTCCACTTCTGTGATATTGTTGGAATATTGCTAAAAGTGGCGTAAAACTAAACTCATTCACTCACAGATTTCATGAAGAAATCTGACAAATGGGTGTTTATATGAATCTTGTCCTCTGTCATAAGTACCATGTTGTGAGTGAGTGAGTGAGTGAGATACTTTATGGGCTACCATCAATAATCCTGCTAAATATGTTGCAGTGATCTGTAAATAATCTGATTGTCTGAACCAATCTGACCAGTGGTCAATACCATGAGTTATGACCGATGCCAAATAAGACACACAGTCATCATCCCTCATTAATCCACCTTATCCTCACCATTGGGGTGGCTGGGAGAGGACCTTGTTATCAAACAATCCCCACAGATAACAAAATCATTTCAAGATTGACTCAATGTTATACACCCTGACAGATGGAGCAAATCACAATGTACATTTCTTTATTTCATGACTTGATGAACTACACTAAATGCAAAACCTTGAGATGCTAATCATATAATCAGTTGTGACCTCTGTCATTTAACTTACTGCACAGTTGTAGTTTTAAAACTACTTTCCCATTTTGATAAACAATGCCAAAATCATACCCTATGTAGTATTATCCATGGAACTACATACTGGTAGCTATAACCCCACACAACTGAATGCTATACAAAAATATAGAGATTTAGACGTGAAATACTTATACTGATAGTTTATTCATGAAGCAGATATCTCCAAAAACGAACATACAGAATACATGGTTCCTCATATTTAATATTTCAAAACTATTCATTCCTAATCTTTGCTCTTAAGGATTTCAAACAAAGATGCAAACAAAATATGTACACGGAAGCTAGTTTTTGACTCCACTTCTTCCATGAAAGAATTTGACAAATCAAAAACAAAGCATACACTTTTTCCTTCTAGATAAACTGTGCACAAGAACCATTTCCTTTCCTGGTAGATGGACGGACGGTATAGCCGTACAAATTGTTGAAATTCTCCTCGCTGACCATGTTGGCCCACAAATATTTTGTTCCTGGCTTAAACAGAGAACCTTGCTTCCAAGCACGATTAGCATGAGTGAGCTAATCGTCTACCAAACAACTGCTCTCACTTGCATTTAGTTAAAAACACCCCCATGAAGTAACGCTGGGAGGTTAGCTATGGCCCACATGCCTGGAAGCCGACCTCTTAATGAATTAGAGCCTTAATTACTCAATTGATTGGCTGCATGCTAGAGGATATTTAGGCAAGCAATTGTGTGTGGCTGAGTCAACACCTTGAGCTTCTATTCAAATGTACAGATGTATAGACACTGTGTAGGGGGCAGTGTCTGGGTCTGGTCTTCGGTGACACTGTGTTTACCGAATGTCAGGTCTGTATACCATGCAGGCATTTTCAGAATTAGTCGGATAATCTCTTGTGTTCATTCTGTCTTCAGTTCGAAAACAATCTTATATACTTACCCTTTTTGTGAACACATGGTGTCTTCACTAACTTTCAGTGACCAATTCTAAATGTTTCACTGATTATTGTGCTCATTGTAATCTTTCCCTCTAGACTAAGATACTATTTCTGATATTCCTTTACCTGTTAAATCTACTTCAGTGCTTTGGTAGTGTTTCCGAACTTGTGAGTGACATGGTTCTATTTATGGATCAATATCATTAGGTCACTATATATTACTGGTTGTCTGATTGATTTTAAATGTTTTGGGCAATTTGGAATTTATGAAAAACTATTTCAAAATCAATATCACAGACCATGGAATTAGGAAAGACAATAAAGCAGATACAAAGTTACAGTATGTGACCATTCAACTGAACTATGACTTGTCCAGGTTTGGCACTAAGGAGTGTACAAGATGTCACTGGAAATATTTGCAAAAATGTTCATAACTATTTCATGGATATATATCGTATACTCAGCAAAGAGAAATGTTATTTATGAGTCTTTGAAACAAAGTGAAGGATAACATAACAGTACATGTGTCCTTGATGCTGTACAGATATACTCAGTGCACTGTGAAAGGTAAAATGTATATAAGGCAGTGGAGCAATATATATGTAGCACAAAACAGTTTGAGTGAAATGTACCTTGTAAAATCTCTTCTCTTTCCTTGCCTTCTTTCTGATTTCATATCTGTCCAGTATAACTTTCTTAATTGTGATGTATTTATACAGTAAATGAACTTTGTAAATACCATGGAGGTGTTATAAGTTCGAGAACTTGTTCCCAATCCCTTTCACGCTGTGAATACAATATGTTTAGAGTGTGAAGTGCGTGATTGTTGTTTGTTTGTCAGCTCGACCACAACAACCTGTAAGTAATGGAGTCTAGACTAGACCAACCAGTTGTGTATATATAGCGTGAGTAATGACACACACTGTTGGCTTTCAGTGGAGGTACATGCCATGACCAAAATCAAGCCGCTTGAAACCTATCTTCAATTCACAAAGCCGGCCTTGACACAAACAAATCGAAAATTGCTTTAAACTGTTATTCCATTAATCTCATAAAAATCACATCTTCTACTCAATACCAAGCCTCTCTGTGTAGATCTCAGTGCATCTCCAAAGAATGTGGCCTGAGGTGAACCCTGACCAATAACATAAATATGTATGAGTTCTTCTGGCAATGTAAGGCAGCTTTCTAAAACAGGTAGGTTTAATTTTGTTATCACCTTTATTTTTCAAATTATCCCGCGAAGATCCAGGTTAGAATTTGGCTTCAGTAACCCATGCTTGTCGTAAGAGGCGGCTAATGGGATTGGGTGGTCAGACTTGCTGACTTGGTTGAAACATGTCATCGTATCCCAACTGCATAGATCAATGCTCATGCTGTTGATCACTGGATTGTCTGGTCCAGATTCAATTATTAACAGACTGCCCCCATATAGCTAGAATGTTGCTGAGTGCAGCATAAAACTAAACTCACTCACTCACTATTTTTCAAATGTGTATAAAGTTAAATCCACACAGAACGGTACTCCATTTAGTGTGTAGATGCCAATGTGCTTGGAAATGTCCGTCGGTGCAAAACATCCTTAACATTACATCATGACATTGTATCTTAAAATTCTTGGTTTTCTTTAGATCAGATATGCTGGTTTGAAAGGCTCGTTCACTTGTACTAAGAATACCTAGAACCCTCTAGCTCACTCACTTGGTCGACACATGTTTATGAATGGCAATTGAGTAGATCGATGCTCATGCTAATCACTGGATTATCTGGTCCAGACTCGATTATATACAGCCCGCCACCATATAGCTGGAATGTTGCTGAGTGCAGCATTTAATAACAAACAAACACTGTCATCCAACAACAGATCACTCGGAGTTCAGATTCATAAATAAATACATTAACATTTATTGCATACATTTGAAAATGCCACAATCTGCTGACACTGAAAGAATTGCACTTGTGGAGAGTAACAGTATAACTACATTTATTGTATAGCTTTGGCAAAGTCGGCATATTTAAATTGCATGCATGAAAATATATCATCACAAAGATATGATAAACAACATATAGGTTAAGGTCATGTCTGGATTTGCAGCATCTGAGTTTACATACATGTAAAAGACAAAACAGCACATTTCATGGAACATGTTCAGCACAGGTCATGAGTAACACAGCAGTACACAGACAGATCTTGTCATAAGCCTGCTTTAAAGGGGGACTTTGATCCACAGTTCATACTGAGACATTGTTTAACTAAGTAATCATTCACTTCTATGTTGATATACACATATATCATAACTTTTGAATTTAAGGTAAAAAAGCTGTTTTGTACTGACATCAGTCTACCTGCCAACTGACCCAGGCCTAGCCCCCATTTAAGCTTTGAAGATGATGAAAAGGTATGAAATTTTGTGAAATGTTGCCTATTCCTAGTTGTTATTTGGTCAAGCTGTCAATTCAGAGGATTCTATTGGATATTTTAGAAAACCGTAACATTCTACTTATTTTACATGACTGACTGACTGACTGAGTATGGTTTTACGCCGTTTTTAGCAATATTCCTGGGCCTAGATTTTCGAAGCTCTCTTAACGCTAAGATAGTCGTAAGTTAATGCTAATGTATGGCACGTACGACTATCTTAGCGCTAAGAGAGCTTCGAAAATCTAGGCCCAGCAATATCACGGCGGGGGAAACCAGAAATGGGCTTCACAAATTGTACCCATGTGGGGAATCGAACCCGGGCCTTCGGCGTCACGAGTGAACGCTTTAACCACTAGGCTATCCCACCGCCCCTCTTTTACATGATGATCGTCATCTATTTAATATTATTTAAAATACCTAGACCACATATACATACTTTTTTGAAGCATTAACAAATACAATGTTTGAAATACATTGGTACTAATACTGATTTAAATAATACTCAAAATATTATGCTGTTTGGTAGGGGTTAACACACAACTGCACAAATGATAGTTTTAAGGATAATAGTACTTTTGACTAAATTACCAAGCCATTATCCTAAGTTTAGTGTTTGTGTCATATATATTAAGTTTGTTTGTTTGACTTGAAATATGAAGAGTAGAAATAAATGGAATATTGCTTTCTTTTAATTCCGCAAGTCAGACTTTCCAATCATATAAATCAAAATTTATTTATGTTACCACAAATGTCAATGTATATGTCAAGAATGTTCTTTGCCATTTGATTAATATGAATTGGGTCTGGTATCAGATTGTCATGGTTGTAATGAGATTATTTGCCATCAATTTATTTTCAAAGAATGTTTATGGAAAATAACTACAGATAATAAACCTCTGTTATGTCTTGGTCTGTAATCTGTCATCCATTCTACAACATTTCCCGACATATACTTTGACATTTGTAGCTTAGGTTTTTACCAAGATGATTGGTTTTAAATCTGACTTTCAGTTGCAGAATTTCAAGGCAATATTCCACGTATTTCCACTCAGTTTACTTTGTGAACCATTTAAATAAAAATAATTTAATATATATATAACACCAAACACAAAAGTTAGGATAATGGCTTAATAATTAAGTCAAAAGTACTATTATCATTAAAACAATAATTATTTCCCCGTCTGTAATCTGTCATCCATTCAACAACACCTATTGCCAGGGTCATATGCACCAACTTCAGATAGAATAAATCTATTTATCAGTTTCGGATTGAAGGAGAAGTGCACAGTTGTCACACAACCATGATATAACTTCACATAGGCCATCGGTCTTGTATTAAATAATATTTGTTTGTATTAAGGATTACCCACAGTTTGCAGCTATTTTAGTCACACCTAAATACAGGCATGTCCATTAGGGATACATAGTAACATTACTGATATATACTGACAGAAACAAATAAAGGAACATAGGAAAATTCAAGCATTCCTTTAATATTTTCCAGTTTTCATCACCAGCTTTGAACAGCGTTGTGGGAGGAAATCTGAGAATAAATAAAGGAACACTGCCATGAAGTGGTGTTCCCTTATTTGTTTCCCGCAGTATATATGTAGCCACTCACATCATCACCTATCCCTGACCATTGGGAATACCATATCTGAACAGCTGCTTATTTTGTGAAGCATTGATAGGAAACACCCACATACCTGAGCCAGTGGTTTCCTAATATACAACCTATTGCCACCACACGGCACCTACAACACACCACTCAAACTGTAGCCATATACATATCGCAGGAAAACACTTCTAAAATATGTGAATGAAAAAAAAGGATGTATTCTACGATTGTATTGTAATGTATTCTTCCCATCTGCTTGACAAATTTAGAAATTGTACGACTGAAAATTATTTTTTTTAAAAATGGAGAAAGTGTGATCAAGGCACAGCTTAATACTAACCACTAATTCCAATTTGTATAGTTTATTCCCAATCTAATACACATGTGTGAATGAAATATGTCTGAACTTGGGTCTACAGTCAGCAGCATTACAACCATATCATAGTAGCTTGACACATGTCATCATATCCAAATTGTGTAGATCGATGCTCATGCTGTTGATCACTGGTTTGTCTGGTCCAAACTCAGTTATATACAGACCACCACTATATAGCTGGAACATTGCTGAGTGCAGCGTTAAACAACAAACCATATCATACAGCACTCTGTAAATGTCTGGGTCAGACAAACAAGTGATTCGTATCATTAGCTCTGATCCATATTTTCTGTGTATGATGAAATACACAACCAGTCAGGTCATACAACGTATCATCTGTCCAAAAGGTCTAAATAAATGTACACTTACTCTTCTGATTGGTTGAAACTTTTTGGACACAAATATTTGAAATTTAATAAATCAGCATAACTGTACATACATTAGTAAGAATGTCAATGATCACTTATCAATAAATATACCATGGAATACACATGGTGCTGCAGATCACAAGTCATGGTACGCTGAGTAACATGACAATCTTTGTCAAGGTGTGTGCATGGGTATCATTATGTCATGGCAACTTACAGTCTTATGGCAACTCACAGTATTAAGTTTGCCATGGCACTGTAGCTCACCTGAGTATAAAGTTGAAATTGTCAATAAGTTCCTGACAGCACTGATATTAACAAAATCTGGTTGAAAAGGGGACTAAATACCATTTGAAATGGTATCATTAAGCTTCATTGGATTTTATTTTCTTAGGAGATAATGTTTACTGTGTGAGGAAATTGTGAGATTTCAGGATCATGCCAAAACGTGAAGTTGGTGAAACAAGCGTCAAAATTTAAAATATCATGAAAAACTGAAAATGACATTGCCTTGAGCCCTACTACCAAACTACAAATATACCTTATGAAATTAAAGTTTGAAAGTCTTTTTGACTGAGAAATGGCAAAAAAAATTTGTTTTTCAAATGATTGTACTGATATTGAAGATCTAATTTGAAACTCTTCAACAAAATGGGACGTCAGCCTTTTGGGAACCAGCATATGAATGTCGGCTTTCATTAGCCCTGTACATGGTTTCTGAGAAAATGTTTACGTTGGACAATGGACAAACATGTCACAACATGAGTGCACTTGACTTAGTCAGGTGAGCTAAAAATGGGTAGTGGGAATTTCGTTTTCATCACCAAGCATCACTTCAGTGGATATTGGACGCTTTATAAATACATAAATTATTATGATTATTATTTATTATGAAAGAAAATATTCATAGTTCCATTATTCCAGATTTTTGATAATTGACAAACATATCATTTCAAAGTCGTCATTGTGTTTACTTGTCTCTCTAATTCTGCTAACACTTGTACCTTGATTTATACCTTATGGTATTTTCTTACCAGAAGGTTAAAACTAGTTGAAGGGAGGTAACTCTTACAACCAATCTTGCCTCTAATATATAGCTGATTCTTTGCAAATTCAGGCTCACCACATGATATTTTTCTATATCTTTCCTCATAGTGTATACCAACAATATCTGTCAGGACAAACTGTTTAGTTGAGACTTCGGACAAAATTGAACATCATCACAAGTAATCACAAACCAACATGTCATCCTCCCCGACCTCTACCATGTATAATAGTGGGTTTAGTTTTACACCACTTTTAGCAATATTCCAGCAATATCAAGCGGGGAACACCAGAAATGGGCTTCACACATGGACACATGTGAGAAATCAAACCCCGGTTTTCAGCATTACGAGTGAATGCTTAAACCACTAGGCTACCCCACCGCCCCTCCATGCATATGAATTCTGTGTACAGTATGAACCTTTATAAGCTTTACATCCTTCTTTACCCATACAGCCGACCAAGGGATGTCACTTAGTCACCACGTTACACTAAAGTTACCTCATCATAAAAACAATTTGTTCACATGGATAGGATATTCATTATCCAAACTCATTTTCCAAACTGCTTATTTGACGTCCTTTGTAATGCTCACTACGTTGCGTACAAAGTTGTAAGTTCAAAAGTAAATTGTAGAAGCTTTCAAATTAAACATTCAACAAACACACTTATTACTAAATAAAAAATATGTAATTATTCCATTATTATTTAAAAATATAGAAGAACAAACTTAACAGTTTGAATTTTTTTGGTCAAGTTGCCCTTAGTGACATACAGCCATTCCTTGTCCATGTAACTGTGATACAACGCATGCACTGCCATTGATACAAAGTCACGCAACAAAACAAACAACAAGATACGTAAATCAGACTCCAAGCAGCTGGATCAGGAACAGCTCCATCTTCAACAACAGTAGGTACCACTTTAACTCCATGAAACAACTTATCCATCTTGGTTTCATGGTCACTATATATGAAAGACCGCGGATGATGTCCGAGAAGTCACTTGACAGGAAGTGAGGTAACAATTGTCACCTATGACACATTGGACTTTGTAGTTTTGTTTTCTGATTTCTTGGTTCCAGCACTGCCATCTGTCGTGGTAGAGGTGTCAGATGACTCGGACTGCAACGTGAAAATAGATTTTTTGTAAAATCTAACTATTATAATACTGTACAAAAACTGTTCACTTTAGGGTACATTTCACCAAAATTAATTACATGCTTTGAGTGACACTTAAGAAGAAAAAACTGATCATAGAACAGACAAGTAAGTACATTGTACACATAAGTATGTCACCACCAGGATAATAGTGGGGGACCCGTGAAGGTCCGGGTTAGAATTGATCTCCAGTAACCCATGCTTGTCGTAAGAGGCGACTAATAGAGTTGGGTGGTCAGGCTCGCTGGCACATGTCATTATATTCCAATTGCGTAGATCGATGCTTATGCTGTTGATTGTCTGGTCCATATAGCTGTAATATTGCTGAGTGCGGTGTTAAACAACAAACCAACAACAACAATATAGAGAAGCTAATTAATGCTTTCTTATGACTGCTGTGTTTCTTCTTTAACATCACATGCAGCAATATCTCAGCTACTTTCTGGTTGCTTTAAATAAATGAGTGACCAGACAATCTAGTGATCGATACTATGAGCAACTATCCAAACAGTTGGGGTATAATAACTCTCAATAAACCAAATCAGAGTCAGACCACCCACTTGGTAGCCTCTTACAGCCACCCTAGATTGCTGGGGAGCTATCCTAACTCATGGGGTTTCTCTTGATTCAACAAACTAGTGGTTGATAGCATAAGCAAATCTTCCACACTGTCAGATTATAATGTAATACACTGACCACCAGATTCTCCTTTCAGTCAGGCTCTTTCAGTAAAACATGAATTCCACCCTTGGATACCAGGGATAAAGTGCGCTGATAATGTTATGAAAAGGTCATGAAGAAAACTAACCAGATATACATGGGTCTTAATGTTTGTAATGACTTCTTATGATTTAGAAAGTACACAAGTAAGTTTATTGTAAAAGAAAGCAAACTGCATTTCCATGTGAAAAAGCCAAGTGCAACAATACCAATAAAAAACATCTGAACAATTACCTTAGTGCTCATACAGTTTTGGTACATGAATGAAGATGCACACATCAAACATATAGCATGCAAAATAACAACAATCCATGAACACACTGTTTTCATAATGATACTAGTGCACAGATTTCTATGGGATAAAGATGGCTCCACATATTGAAAAACAACATTTCAAACTCTGAAAGTCTCTTGGGACATTCAATTTTGTCTCCTTTTTTCATCAAAGTAAACGAATGCAACAAACACAAAGCATCTATTAAATAAAAACAAACAACAAAACATTATTATATAACAATTATCCCCTCAAATAATAGTTTGTTTAGAATTCTGAAGAACATTAATAAAATTATGTAAAATTATCTAAACATAAGTATAACAAAAACAGCTCCAATGTATATTACATTCATTTCTACTGTATCAGGAGGCACCTATCTTGCAATGCCCTTTATAACTAGCAGTGAAACACAATAACATTACCCATAAGAGTAGAATGGTGAATGGAAAACTTCCTGATATCTGCAAATGTGCATTTTACCATTCTGTAAGCAGTTAATTGAAGCCATGTGTCATTTTTGTATGACACAATGTTCCATTGTTAAACAAAACTGAGGTATGACATCATCCATTGTTCATGACATCACAAATGATGACATTTAGGTCATCGGAACAATAGGCCGTCTCTGGAGGTTTAACGTACATTTCATACAATATTCCCCAATTTTCTTTCTTAAAATGTCAGTGACTAATAATATACATAATAGTAAGCGTGAAACTCAGAATTGCAAACTATCTGTCCCTTATGAATGAATACTGTGAGGTGTTTAATTAGAGAAATGGTGATGACTGGTCTTACAGCATTCATTCATTCACTGACACTCAGGAAAATAATCCATAATTCCTTATAGCTTGTTGATTATTCTCCAGTTTGAGGACAGTAAAGGCACGGTATGTTTTATTCTACCATGTTCAACAGTTGTGACATTCTTTGACATTTGTATACAACAACATAATGATACATACCAATATGTCACATTAACATAGAAATAGACAAAAATGTCATAGATGTAATATCTTGGTTTACTATCGCTTGCCAAATTCTAAAATGCCAATCAAACATGTGAATTATGACCACAACAATACAATAACAGGATCAGCAAACATTCTTGGACTTTCTTAGTCACCATTCCAAGTCAAAAAGAATGATATTTCACACAAATAATTCTTTCAAATGTCATTCCCTGAAAAAAGTCCTAATTTTTAGATAAATATTTTCTCCAAAACGTAGCATTCATATATGAGATTATTCTCACACAACACATAAACTGAGACAAACACCACTCAACACATCAAACCATGCCAAGTTAGTGAAAATGGCTGACTGTAATTACCAAATATGGATAGAGGGTTGAACACTAAACAAATGCCTGGAGCTGGAATAAAGGGACACAACTCTCACGATAAGTTATAGACAGTTTACTCAATATAAGAACAGATACTAAACTTGACACAATAACCACTGAATGGGAATAAATCTTCTGGTTTCAAGATACACATGAAGCGTGAAGTAAACAAAACTGTGGCTGCCTTACTAATTCACTGTTGGGCACAAAGAAAACTTCTATGGCAAGTACTATCTGTATATTTAAATTCATCAAGAAGAGTAGGCCCATTCTATATTATACAGTGAGAGATATATGTGAATGTGCAGGAAACAATATATATGTTATTTACACAATAGTAATGGTAGATAAGTTTTTAACAGTTGGTGCATTAGTAAAATCCATCAAAACATTAACATTATATAAAGAAGTCCAAATAGAATTTATGTGGTAGATAATTTAATCTCTATATTCATCTTCTGCTTCAAACAAAATACCGTCCAAACACAATCTTTGTTCTTGTAACTACTTGGAAAAAACAAACAAAATTTCTTTCTATCAACAGCTGACTATAAACTAATACTTGAACAAAATGAAAATAGTTTGATACCTTTAGTTTTTAAGTGGTTATTCTGTCAAGTTTGTATAAATTAATGAAACACCAAACAGACTGACTACAGATGACGAAAACCACCAACTATCACAAAGAAAAAGAAAATGTCTTAAAGCCTAGGTATTCTAAATAGGTTTCATATACATATATTTATGTATATGTTCTTTGATCTATTTCCTCAAAGTTTTAAAGAGGGTGCATATCTATAAGAGAAGATTATCAACATTTGTTCATTCTTTGTGATGTGATTGTTCACAACAGTCTGTGTGTGAATGAGTGATTACATGTCGATTAATGGCACAGTCAGCTAAATCACAGCTGCCTGTAGATAATCCAGAGGATGATAGCATGAACAACACTGATGTCATCTCGACATGATGACATGCCATCAGTCACTGAGCCAACCATTCACCCCCTTTATGGCTCTTATGCCAAACATGGGATTAATGGTAACCTAGTCTTCCTGGAATGTATACAAAACATTTTCATGACTAAACAAATATAAAGGTTACTCCCCAAAACATTTAGCATGCCTCTCATTTTCCAAAGTCTCTGTAAAACCCTGTATTGTTGATGAATACAATGGAATTAATCACTCATAACATATATGGCTTGTAAACTGGAATCCTACTGTTGTACATGAGGTCCTGATCACCTGATCAGCGTTCTGATGCAGCAATGTTGTGACTGATATTGACTATTGATATCACATGGGGTATTGACCGACCTGAGACAGACTCTTGTCATCTCTCTGTGCAAAGATGACGACAGGCCCTGGTGGCAGATTGCGGAACAGCTGGTAGGCATCCAGGAGTGTGAGTTCATGCATCGGCTTTCCGTTCACTCGGACTAACAGGTCACCCTTCCTACAAAACAGATATTTATTACGGTTATAATGAATGCAAAGGGACCAGTTATTTTAGATCAACATAAACACAGTTCTTTACACACATTTCAACTAAAACAATACAATGTAGTATATCTGTTTGTTATAAAAGCATGCTCACTTTAAAAGTAATTTACTGTATATAACTTTTCTATCACAATAGAGGATCATGAGACTTTAAAATTAATTCCTTGGCTAATGTTTTGTCTACATAAATGTAGACTAAAATCCAAAATAAAAAACACCACAATATTGATTCACAGTCTTAAATAATATATTGTAAGTAAAGAACAAAAACAAACCAAGGAAGACTGAAAAGGTAATAATACCAATTCTTCAATATTTCTATCATTCAAAGAAACACTTAATGCAGCTTGCAGGTTAACCTTTTCTTGTCCCCATTACCAACAAAACAAGGTGTTATCCCATTATATGCATTTGCATTATATGCTTGAACAATTATGAAGTTTACGGAATAAATATGTAACTTCAGTGCATGAAATGTATTTTGACAGTCCAGGCATTCTGCTCAGTAAGACCAATGCTAAAAATTGTCTACTAAGGGGCATAAACACAACTGACCTGAGCTGTCCATCCTTCTCTGCCTGGGAGTTGTGGGTGATGTCCTGAACGTAGATGTTACTGATGCCGCCGATCGTCTTCCGAACCACATTAATACCCAGACTTAGTCCACATTCTGAAATTATGGAAACTGACATGACAGTACCACACAATCATATAGAATACAGACATGAACTGATAAATGTCAACTAATAATACAGTGTAGGGAGAATGTGAAACATGTACAATTTGTTCAGAATAATTAATTCCTGGTTCACAGTAAACTGTTAACTGCTTTTTTAGTATTTCCTTGTTGCAGTCCCTCAATAATGGTTACTTCATGACAATTTGAAGGAAGGAGAGATCACTGGCACCTATATGAAACTTGACCAAAATGAAGATTGTTTTGTCACAGATCGTACATAAACAGCATCAGTCAATGCTAATGCATAATTCACTACATCTTGTATGGGCAGAGAAATAGCCTCAAAAGTCTACCAGCCCAAATATTTAGCATCTTAAAATTCTACAGGATGGAGAATATACCAGGAATTCAATTCACTAAACAACCATGGCCTTAAAATGATCATATGTCAATACTCGAACACCGACTGAAGACAATCATAATGCCTAGATACTTAGTGGGCCAGGCACACTTTGAAGGTCTGGGATAGAATTGGTCTTCAGCAACTCATGCTTGTCGTAAGAGGCGACTAACAGGATCGGGTGATCAGGCTCACTGACTTGGTTGACACGTCATCAATTCCAAATTACGTAGATCGATGTTCATGCTGTTGATCACTGGATTGTCTGGTCCAGACTCTAATATTTACAGACCACTGCCATATAGCTGGAATATTGCTGAGTGCAGTTGTTAACACCAACCAACTAGTGCTTTTAACATTCAGACTTGCTGATTCTAACATTTGCAGGTTTGTGTTAATTTTGTAACCTAAATGTATCCACATGTATTAGACTGTATTCCTACCTTTGTGGAGATCCACTTCAAAGATTCGGTTGTTACTGCCAATTTCACTTGTTAACTTTAGCACACTACCATTAGACAGGAATCCATTCTCGGAACTCATGTTAGAGCTTACTTGACTTTGAGAATACTCCAGTTTCTGAACTACAGACATAAAGTTAACTCCTTGATTTGTACTTTGTAAAGTCCGGAACTGAGTATTTGCCATTCCTCTATGAGATGAATGCCCCAGCTCTGTACTCATATATTTCTGCTGAGAAACTTCTTGGCCCATATAGGAGGTATGAGTTGCCTCCCTTTGCATAAAGTTTGTGTTGTGTCTGGATATGGTGAAGTTGGTTCTGTCCCCATGGGAGTGCAGAATGGGGGACGTGGGGAAGAGATTGGTCCTGACTCCTGGCGTTCTCAGATTATGTGGCAATGTCTGTGTTCGATCTGTCATCTGTGACAACGGAGACATCAGTCCTGCTGTGAGAAAGGATGCCCTGTCCAGGGGTGAGAGAGGTGGTAGGGTGTTGTTGGGAAGAATGCCGAAGACTGAGGCGTCGGAGATACTGTTGCTTGGAGTGTGGCGTGGGGAGTGGCCAGGGGTGGAGACGGGACTACCTTCAGGGGACTCTCGGGGCTGAGGCACTCGGTGACAGGTGGGGACTGGAACAAACATAGTAACTTCGGTATTGACACAACAGGCAAGATGAGATCATATTTGACATATATATGATTGTAGTTATAAAGCTATTTGCTACAACGTGATTAAAAAAATCCCATCACATGTGGAGTATACTGAGATAGAAAGAAACGAGTACAGAGAGAAATATAAGTACATGTATTTAGGCATTAAACATTTAACCCAAAGATACCCACAGTATTTGTCAGTGTTATGACAAATCAGATACTATTTTTTCACTGTGTCATATGTTGTTAACATAATTTCCGTGTTAATAACTGTATTTCTTTCCATGAGTATATATGTGAAATGACACAAATTCCGTTCATGGCAAACTTAAATTTAAAGTGTTTAAGTCTACAATAGAAATCAAGTCTTAAAACATGATTTTCATTATCCAGACTGACAGTTACGAGTTTAACATACTCTTTCATTACAATTTTTAGAAATGCTTATAGGTGCTCTGAATGTATCCTCATCCATGCCAGTATGAGTCAGGCCTCATGTTCTGTTCTATAGTGGATTTCACCAAACTGGAAACAGACTTGGCCTGTCACTAAGGTTGTTCCTCAAACACTGATCAGACAAGTGACTGTAATATGTCCCAAGCAGAGATAAATGTAAAGATGTTTTTATGACTGACCTGGAACTTGGGGAGGAGAGCCTGCTCCTGTACACAAGTCTCACTAGACCCTTCCTGAGAGAGCGGAACTTGGACAGAACATCCTTGTGGGTGAGGCCCTGGAGTGGTATTCCATTCAGCTCAACGATCTCATCACCTGAACCAACAACATACTAACATCATACACAGGTTTTATGGAATGAACATATATACTACTGAAAAGTAGTTAAAGAACACCCATATCTTCCATATCACTATACTAAATATATCAGCAAAAAATCCAATGAGAACTTTACTAAAAATTTGCTACCAGTAAGTACAAAATATATCACTCTTCTTGACACACATAACATCCATCAAAAAGGTGATAGCATTTACAGTCATGTGTTTTCAGACTACAGTCATAACTAAAATACGATATTAAGGCCATTGATACAACAACAAAGAGAATAAATTGGAGGAATTTCAATTCATTTTGCAAATTTTAGTACAATCTTTACATTCAGTGATCAAGGATCATCAGCTGAGAGTAAACTAAAGGGACACAACTCTTGAAACCTTGAATTTCTAAGTTCAGTCTGGGATTATACTAAATAGGAAAGGAGAGACCATTGTCTGCATATGTATACTTATCTGAAAACATTAATAATAACTTGGAACACATTTAACACATCTATTAGATGTTTTTGAAATAATGACAGTTGAATAAACAAAAATATTTCTCATACACAAATCACAAGAAGAAAGAATCAGATAGATATGGTAGAGTTAAGTGCTCTATAACTTCAAGTGGGTGGTATATGTAACCTGTAACTCTAACTCTCTGCTCTGATTATATACAAACAAATCGTCTCCCAAATACCTTCTCTAAGCCTGCCATCCTCTGCGATGACACCGTTGGGAAATATCCTCCTTACAATGATCCCCATCCTCCCTCGGGGCGAGTCGGTTCCTCCCACAATGCTAAATCCCAGACCCTTCCCCTTGGCACCTTTGTTCACTGTCAATATCTGCTCGGGACCGAACTTTGGGGATCGATATTTATCAGGTGATTGGGAATTCTGTCCAGGCCTGGAGAACTTCTAGAATAAGAAAATAAAATTAACCTGTCATTATAGGGACAGGAATGGTGTGAACCCTAGGAATGGTAATGGCTGATATGAAAGCACCTCGAGACTTGAGGTGAAAGTTGATGGCCCCAGCCCGATTATTTGCATGTATTAAACGGTCACTTACGTGGCTTACGGGGCCATTTGATATGCCCAACACATCGCTGGCAGTCTCACACACTTATCTATGATAAAATATTTTCATGATAGGCTATTACTGTTTTTTCTCGACTAACAATTTGTGCATCAGTGTATTGTTCACCACAGAAGCAGTTTATAATATCATTATTATAAATATTATTCATATATATTAATATACTTTAATTCAATATTTATTGTAATAAATATTAATCTTAATGCTTATGAACACATGTTATTTGCATAAAAGGTAATATAATATGGAATATTTACCATGTTTATTGATTATAATTTTTTTTCACACATATACTTCAACAGCTGATGCACTGTGCTATGTATTATAAATATGTATAATCCAATTACCATAAATCTAAGCTTACAGTGCCCATACCATAACTGAACTGCATCACTGACAACAATAGATTGTATGATAGTTAAGATATACCCATCATAAGTGAAAATATCAGTAATATCAACAATTCTTACATCAAACATCTCCTCCCATTTTAACACAGTCCCTGATGGAGTCTGCGCGATGACCTCTGGCACAGGTGCTGGGGTTTCTGCTTGGAAGGTGGGACTGTCTGACTGAGGTACAGGGGACAGAACTCTTGGACTTCCTGGAAGCTGGGATGACAACGTTGAGGCTATTGACGCTGATTTACGAATCTGTCAGAAAATAGAAAGTGAATTTCTGTATAAATGTTTCTCTGACACATCTGTCTCCATACGTATAGAATACTTAACATATTGGAGGAATGAATTATACAAACATTTGACATAATACATTTATCCCTCCAATCCTTTCAATAGTTGTTTCGAAGATCCAGGCTAGAATTGATCTTCAGTAACCCATGCTTGTCGTAACAGGCGACTAACAGGATCTGGTGGTCAGGCTCGCTGACTTGGTTTACACATGTCATCGGTTCCCAATTGCGTAGATCAATGTTCATGCTGTTGATCACTGGATTGACTGGTCCAGACTTCGATTATTTGCAGACCGCCGCCATATAGCTGGAATATTGCTGAAACTCACTCATTCAAGAGTTGTTATTCAATATATATTGGTGGGGGCGCGGTGGGCGAGCTGGCTAAGGCGCCAGGCTAGTGATCCACCGAGGTTGCGGTGTCGGGATCGAGCCCACCTGTGACCGGGTGTTAAAACCTTGGAGTCAACTTTGTGTGCAGACTCTTTCAGTGTTGTCACAACCCCTAGTGTACAGTAAACAACCCTGTGCACTTAAAAGAACCCACGAATCCGTTGGTACGTGACCAGATGGTGGCCACATGAATACGTGCAAACACCTAGTTGCGGGTACAGCAACGTGCAGTGAACTTGGACAAAATACTGTGACTATGTGTCCCAGTCCACCCAGCTGTGAATGGGTACCTCGTTAGGATGATAAAGCCACAAAAACTTGGTGCGCCTAGTGGCTGCAAGAGTTGTATACTCCCCAGGGAGTTGAGATTGATAATACGATGTGCCATTGAGATTGACATCCGATGATTGAGGGAAAAAATATCAGCGCTTGAGCAAGCACTAGTTGCCTGGATATGTGCTATATAAATATCCTATAATAATATAGAGCAAGGGAGGCCCACTCTCTCTCCAAATGTCCAAAAAGAGGTCAGAAGCAAAGATCTGGTACAAATCATAAATTGAATGATATGTATACGTGCAGTAAACTACTTTTATAACAAATTCAAAGTGATCACTAATTTCATTTTGTTTATATATAAACAGAAAAGTATAATACTTTATGGATAACAACTTCTTTAATCATTATGATGCGACGTTTCGGTATAGCTTCTTATACCGCTGTCTTGCTTGACAACGGTATAAGAAGCTATACCAAAACGTTGCATCATTATAAATAAAGAAGTTGTTATCCATAAAGTATTATACTTTTCTATTATCCATCAACTTCTAAAATGCCAATCAAACATATATAAATATATACAAGCATTGTCACTAAGGTGACATAATCCCCTGCCGCAGTTATCAAATCAAACTTATAAAGTAATGAAAGTTTAAGGTAAATGTCAACAAAAACATGACCAGTCAACCTCTCTTGATGTCTTGATCTTTAGGTGTTCAAACACACACATATTTTCAAGACTGACTTTGACATGAATGTCATAGTGTATGAAATATGCAAAAATAGTACTAAAGAAATTGCTTTTTGAAAAACATTTAAGGGAAGTCTTGAAAGTCTTTGAAGAAGATCCAGTGAACTGTTTTTGAAATATCTTGCTGACAATTCAGGTTAACATGCTCAAATCTTCAAAGTGTCTCTGTGACCTTGAAAATTAAGTGAAGGTCACCAAAATCGACTGGGCCCTGCGCCTTCCCTAGATAAAGCTTGGTTTCAAATATGAAGAAAATCCGGTGAACGGTTCTTGAGATAGCTTAACATGCAGGTAAAACGTTAAAGTCCCCTTGTGACGTTCAAATTAAGGTCAAGGTCACCAAACCTGACTTGCGCGGCGGATAATAAACAGTTTGTTTACACACATGAAGACTGCAAGCATCAGAAACAACAACAAAAAAGTTAATTCTATCCATCAGTCTGTTGTGTGTTTGTTATAAACAAATAAACATGCAAACATACTTTACTGTAATACATAGCACTGGTACTGTTTATTTCAGATATCAATGTATTTTATTTTTGATGAAGATAAAACAGAATGATGAAGCAGTCCTGCACACTATGCCTTGAACTGCTATTGACTATCACACATATATTCCTTTCACAAAATGACAAATCTGATTAGGCACTAGCACCGTAGGCATAAATGGAAACAGACAAGAACATAATATCATATTTTGCCATACAATCGCTTATTCAAGCAAGAATATTTACTAAAAACAAATTCAGATGAAAAATCAATAGCTGCAATGGTTTCAGGAAATTTCCTTAAGAACATTTTTTTACCTATTTTTGAAAAATATCCATGCTTTAGGCTCAGTTTCATTCGTCTTTTTTCAGTTGTCAATGAGACCATACATTTTGAAGATTTCTACTCGAGTTGCCCATAGTCCCTAATCTCCCTTCAACAGTGCATTCTATCACTGCTAATAGCATTTCTTAAACAGTTTCTTGAAATTGATTGAATTCAAGAGAATGGTAGAATTTATGACATTCATAACTCAGATAATAGCACACACTCAACGATTGAAATGCATGGTTTTGTGGTCTCGAGGATCATTATTGTAACCCAGACAGGGAAGCCCTTGATTTAGAGGCCTCAGATCAGCATGCACAGGCCACACTGTTCCAATAGCAGCAAGCCAGGTGTTCTATGCAACTTGATATGAAATGTCCTTTGGAACTTTTCTTATTTTGATGACATACATGTCAATGCAACAAAGCTGGATCAATTACTGTCTTCCACAGGAACCTGTGATAATATAACTGTCCATTATAGTAGACTGTGGTAATGCTATCAATTACTGTATTCCATGACAACCTGAGAAAATACCTCCAGTTACAGTGCATCACAGTAGACTACTAATATTTCTCTTTACTATTGTAGAGGGTGATAAGATTTTTAATCTGCCACAGTCTTCTATTGTAGACTAGAGTGTTACAATGCTATCAATTACTCTCTATCACGCAGGACTGTGAATTTTGTAATGTAATGTACCGGTATTCCATAGCTGCCTGTGATAATGCTTTCAATAGCTCTCTACCATTGCACATTGTGTTCACTCTATCAGTTGGTGTCTAGAATTGTTCTGTTTAATAGTTTCAGCTTGTCTTTTCATTTTAAATTTTTACCTAAGCTAACAATAAAAGTAATAATCTATTAAACCAAATTTGTCATACCGGAATTACAGAGAGATGATGTTTATTTACTACAATGTATATATCTTTATACAACTAGCTCTGCAGACAAAAATATATCCAAATTACTCAGTAAATATTTGATCAATCAAAGCAGAATCTGAAGCATGAGACATTTGAGGAAAAAAAATGCTCTAAGATCCATTTCTAGTCTATTCTGAGGCATAATTCATCACATCCAAAGATAGCGATCATAAACCTCTGATATACTTCAACAAAATTAGAGTTTGAGATGATCAAAATGAGTAGCTTGAAACAAAAGTAATATGAATCTCAATTTGCAGAACCTAATTGAAATGACTGACTTTAATCCTTTGTAAGGAGTGTCACCCGTGGACAATACATTCTTGAAGCTGAAGCATACTGTACATACACATACAGTTCCACTGACAGCGATAGCTTTTCAGTGACAGTAATAGCTTCCTAGTTCAAAGTACTGGATATGAGAGCACACATGGAAGGAACACCAGTCAACCCCCCCTCCCACTCCCCAAAAGGTCAGTGTGTGAATGTTCAATGATTTTATCACCAGCAGTCCCAGCTGATATATGTCAAAGGTAAATATGATCTGAGCTCACTGAGGAACAATGACTAACCTACACACTGTCAACCCCATACAGTGCTGTATTTGTCATTCTAGTCTGTCTCACAGTCCCTGAACCATTTTTTTCCCTTCCGCCCACCCCTGTAATGAAAAATACCGAAATGAAGCAACTCTAGATTTTCCTCAGGTTCAGAAGTTCCAATCTCACTGGGGCTAAGTTTCAGCTTTCATGGACTAGTTTATTTCTATCAAAATTATAGGGTTTCAGAGACCAAACACATGTCTAGTGTTGTTCCATAAATATTTGAGTGGGATGGTCAACAGAAAGGCAGGTCTATCTAAAGGTAGGCAATGTTATCTTGACCTACTGTATCCGATGTGATAAGCAGCTTAGACACTTAGAAAGGTGGCACAGAGAGCATTTACTTAAATCATTCACTACATGTTGAAATTGAGATGGAGTGGTATGAAATAAACTAGGTTCTTACATCAAAAAAGGGTTTTGAAAAAAACATACTAGGCAATTACATACCTCTTCCATATTTCCTGTAAAAATCAATAATTTAATTCATAATTCAAGGACTCTCAACTTAATATGGGCACTAAAGATATTTACAGAATGGCGTAAGACGCCTACTTAATATTGAGTTATTAGCAACATAATCAAGCATTTCATAGCAAAGTTACATCTCAAAGACTCTGTATGCATAACCACATAATTTTGTTTTAAAGTATTAAATTAATATGCTTACAATGTCAAATTGAAAACATGATTATGCCAAATTAAATGTTTATTGTTTAAAATGTTTATTAGAATCTTACTTCAAAAGTTCAAGGGGAAATAAATCATGACCAATTCTTCTTCATTTTATCTCTGGAATCTTGGTACATGTAAAAACAGTATTTGTAAGTATGACAAATGTATATGCCTAAATGTACAGAAAACCCATCACTAACTGGCACATTAAATATGTGAAGGAAGCTTACAAGAGTTCTAAATACCCCTGTCACTGAAAATCCCCACAGATTTATTACACAGCAAAATGTTTGTAATCCAGATGGAAAAGTTGCATGTCCATGTTATGTAAAATCAATATTGAGAAATGTCGCTGTGGACAAGGACACACACTCAAGATTTACAATCTTTCTCATTAGATGTCACGTCATCACCTCTGCTCAACAGTTCATTGGGTAATTTCAACAAATGAGTTCCAGGAGTGTTTCAGTTTCAAATTAGGTAACAATTGTTTGTGGTATGCGACTATCAAAATGTGTGGCCACTAACAGATTGTCTGCCCCTGTCTGATGGGATCAATGTGAGGTGCGGCACCAGACCTTTGATAATTGACCTAAAGGTATCGCGGCCATAACGTCAATATCAAGCCTTGACAACTGTTGACATCACCGCCAGATTTCTTGAATGCAAATGGATGATAATGCTCTGAATGACAAGACCCTGGTCAACCATATTATGTGCCTTCTGGTTAAAACCCGTCTGGCTCCAAGGAAAGTGGATTCCTATGAAACCTTATATATTATGCAGAATAATGAACCACTTATAATGCAGCCGTTGAATGGTTTTACTTTGGAAAATGTCCATTATGTTCTTGGTTTAAGACCATATTCAGCGATTATCCTGTATGCCTTCAATTAGCATTAATGAGACAGCCCAGACTATAATCCCAGACTTATTGGCCTTCCGTATGTCTAGAAGCACTATTCCATTTACATTCATTTGTGTGTCAAGTAAATAGAAAAAGTAAAACCTTTTCAAATTCATAAGAAATCTCTGCTGTTACCAGAGTTTATTGTATGACAGAGGCACCAGTCAAAACACATGCACAGGCAAGTCAATTGTTTAATGTCTTTTTTTGCAAAAATTAGCGATATTCAAGTTGGTTCACAGCAGCTGTAAATACTCAAGTATGGACCAGGTTGATAGTAAGAGCACTGATCAATGCTGTTGGTGTATGCTAACATACTATCAACTAGGTCTTTCTTTACAGCTGGTGCCTATTCTACATTACAGACATATGTTATAACAGTCGTGTCTTCTTATAAATCTAAATCTTGTGTAGCTCCATTTCTCCACACATAATCTAGCTGTGTTAACTGAGTTATTTCAATTACGAATATACACAGGCTCTAGTGAATTTTATAGCTCATATATCAATATTCCCTCACAGATGAGAAACGAGATCTTTGAGTGGCAATCACAGATTGGAAATGTAACTAATGACAAGATATTATGGGTGTCGAGACATTAGCATATAAATTTGTTATCACATACTTAATCCTATCTAATTTGAATTATAGCTGTAACAGGTAAAGGGATGTGTAGTCATCCACACTAATCTGTCATTTATAGCCTACAGTAAGCAGGAATGTTGCAGATACTGATGAGTCCAACAGGTTGCACAATGTTGCCTGCAGACACAAACACAACAGGTTGCTCAATGTTGCCTACAGATGCCAACAGGTTGCACAATGTTACTTGCAGACACAGACACTAACAGGTTGCACAATGTTGCTTGCAGACACATACACCAACCGGTTGCACAATGTTGCTTGCCGACACAGACACCTACATGTTGCTCAATGTTGCTTGCTGACACAGACACCAACAGGTTGCACAATGTTGCTTGCAGACAGACACCATAACACCACAGACACAGACACCAGCAGGTTGCACAATGTTGCTTGCAGACACATACACCAACCGGTTGCACAATGTTGCTTGCCGACACAGACACCAACTGTTTGAACAATGTTGCCTACAGACACAGACACCAGCAGGTTGCACAATGTTGCTTGCAGACACAGACACCAACAGGTTGCACAATGTTGCTTGCAGACAGACACCTACAGGTTGCTCAGTGTTGCTTGCAGAGACAGGCACCAGCAGGTTGCACAATGTTGCTTGCAGACACAGACACCAGCAGGTTGCTCAATGTTCCTTACAGACACCAACAGGTTGCATAATGCTGCCTACATACACAGACACCAACAGGTTGCACAATGCTGCCTACAGACACAGACACCAGCAGGTTGCACAATGCTGCCTACAGACAGACACCAGCAGGTTGCACAATGCTGCCTACAGACACAGAGACCTAGCATGAGGACAATTTACCTTGGAGGCCACGACCAGCTGTACCAGTCTTTGGGCCACGACCAGCTGTACCAGTCTGGGCTCTGTTCGCAGACAGTCAACAGCCTCCTGATGCATCATCCCGATCAGACTCACTCCATTGATCATAAGTAGCTCGTCTCCACGTTTCAGTCGGCCATCTCTGTGAATGGATCATAACACATCTGAATACAGCGAACCCTGTTAGTCTGGACTCCCCTATCTTCAGAATTAGTACTAGTACTTCTGAAACTGTCTATACCCAACAACATGACTAGTACTATGTTCCTATGGGTTTTCAGCTTATATGCTTATTAATCAAGACTATTTCATTGGGAACTGTACCATGCAGTTTAACAGGGTTTCGATGTATATCATTTGTAAGATTCACAAGAAATCCCCTGCACACCTGGTATCTGTTAATAATAAGCAGACATGTCACCATCATGTATCATGTTTATTCATACATCCCTAAACCATATATATTTGGCAAGACTTGTGGTTGGGTTGACAACATAATGTAACAGATTTACAGAACAGTATGCATGTACTGTTGGACACTTAATGAGCATATCAGAGCTAAGGCTGCATCAATCCTACAAAGACAGCACAGTGTTTACCAGTGTAAATCACTTCTCTCCAGTTTCCAATATATTTTCAACCACTTGAGGTAATAATAGTGATTTTGCAATCATCAAATAAAATATTGCTAAGAGCACTTTCCATGTTAAAGGGAAAATGTTGGGGTTTGTGTCAGTTTTTGCAATAAGATAAAGTAGAAACTATGTTTTAGCAATAAAACTTATGATCAACTGCACATTTCGAAAGCATTATAATCATTTGTGTGTTTGGCATCATTTTTGTCATAAACATCATCAATAGTACTTGGTCACCATCATCATCAGTTTAATCATTTTAAACATAACTACCACCATAACCCTGCTGTCCTTCAGTGAGACTGTTTGTACCCACCTGTGAGCAGCCCCCGACTCATCATCATCATCATCATCATCATCATGTTAAACATACCTACCACCATAAACCCGCTGTCCTTCAGTGAGACTGTTTGTACCCACCTGTGAGCAGCCCCCGACTCTGTGATCCCTGCTACGAAGATGCCAATGTCTCCCTTCTTGGACCCTTTACCCCCTGCAATGTGGATGCCCAGACCATTCGCATCCTTCAGGAGGTGCAGCTTGGCGATGAGGCGACGCTGAAACATGCAATCCTTTGTGATATTTGCTGACTGTTCTTTTTACAGATGTTCCTGATCAAATATGTCTGAGAAGTTCGACACACAGAACATGTGCAGGTGTCATACAAATTATTCTGAAATCTCTGCATTATGTACAAATACAAGTGAGGTCATGTATGTAATGTCTTTCATTGTATTCCTAAAGGTGATCTGGAACAACTTATTCTTCAAATGTAATGACAAAAGTAATAATCCTTCAAGGCAGAGTGAGTGAGTGAGTGAGTATAGTTTTACGCCGGTTTAAGCAATATTCAAGCAATATCACGGTGGGGAACACCAGAAATGGGCTTCACACATTGTACCCATGTGGGGAATCCAGCCCAGGTCTTCGGTGTGATGAGCAAACACTTTAACCACTAGGCTACCCCACCGCCCGGCACTGATATACAAACAGCAATCACATAGATGGACAGAGCATAAGTCACAACAAGCTGATCCACCAAAGAAGAGAAGAGAATGACACCTCCCAAAGTTGTTGCGATGCTCTGCTGACCATGTGAACTATGGTTTGGGAATATTTTAAGCACAGTCCTATTAACAAGTACGTACTGATTGATGAAATTATGTTATGAATACAAAACTTCATTTAGAAAGTGGTCAAATGTAACATGTCATATTTCAGATTACACTTTCTCAGTGAAGTACAGCCTCTAGTTCTTCTGGGTGTTGAGGCACCTAATTGACAGTAAATAAAACCAGTGATCTAACCCACTCAGCCACTTCCACAACTACAGAAAGTGTAATGCTAAATATAACATATGTCATAAGAAATCATGTTATTTTTCATTCCTATATAGGTTTTGACATTTCACACAAAAAAGAAAAATTTGCTATTTTACAAAAAAAATTGGACAAAATAATCAATATCTTGTGGCCTTGCTAGCAAGTGTTGCATGAGAGCTACTGCACTTTAATCTATTCCATATAATGTACAGATGTTTCCAACACACACAGTGGTACTGAGTCACTAAATTACATATGTTAACTTACTCACAGATGTGTCATACTCAACATTAAACAGCTTCATGAACACAAGCAGCCTTCTGAGAATCAAATTACAATCATAATAATACAGATCATAATATTATTAATGTGCATTCCATTGGTTGGTTTGTTGTTTAATGCACCGCTCAGCAATATTTCAGCTATATGGAGGCAGTCTGTAAATAATCTGGAGTCTGGACCAGACAATCCAATGATTAACAGCATGAGCATCAACCTACACAACTGAGATACAGTGATATGTGTCAGTCAACCACGCAGTCCCGTTCGTCGCCTCTTACAACAAGCATGCGTTCATGAAGACCAATTCTAACCCGGATCTTCACGGGTCGATGTGCACTCCAAAGACACACCCAAAAGCCTGGCCAAAGAGTTACATTTTTATCTGATGCAATGGATCAGTGCACTCTACATATTCATTATCAGCTCCCTGGGGAACATACAATCCAAGCTGCCCATGAGGCTCCAGGTAAACAGCCATCATCTCATCAAAGAGTTCAGGCACCCATTCACAAGCACAACCGATAAAATGGGACAAATTTGTTTTGGGGTATGCTCAGGGTGGAAAAAGTTTGAACTTGAATTAACTTCTTCCAGAGCTAATTCAAACTGAATAATTGATACCTTGAATATATTTACTGGACTTCTTTATTTCACTACTTCACGGGTCAGGTAAGCAAGATGTTTGTATCAGGCATTATCAAAACCAGGAAACAATTTATCAGATTAAGCAGTTTCATTTTCATCGTACAATGAGTTCTCACAACAAACTAATGAACCTTTCAACCACACTTCCCAATTATTTTTTTTACAGCATTCATATACATGCCTTTTTTAAAATTGTGTTTGTGGGTATATGGCTTTCAAACAGAGTAAGTGAGTGAGTTGGGTTTTACGCTGCTTTTAGCAATATTCCAGCAATATCATGGCGGGGGAACACCAGAAATGGGCTTCACACATTGTACCCATGTGGGAAATCGAACCCGGGCCTAAATCAGTGTGATGAGCAGATGCTATAACCACTAGGCTAACCCACCGCCCCATTTCAAACAGATCATGCAGCAGTAAATATTCACTCACTTGCTCACTTTCTCATAGAGGAACATGGCAATATCATTCTCATCACCATCACGGCTTTGATATATTTCAACATCAATATTAGCATGCAGGTCCATTATGAAGCCTCATGTCCCTACTGTAATATAGGCATGTTAGTCGACACCGTTTCAGTAAACAGTTGAGGAGATCAACAGAAGCTGTCTACATACTGTGTTGTACACTGCAGCTGTTGTGCTCAGTGGATGCCATGGCTTGTAATGCAGGTGGTAGAAAAGAGTGAGTGGGGTTTTAAGTCACTTTTAGCAATATTCCAGCAATATCATGGCGGGGGACAGCAGAAATGGGCTTCACGCATTGCGTCCATGTGGGGAATTGAACCCGGGTCTGAGGTGTGATGAGCGAACGCTTTAACCACTAGACTACCCCACTGCCCCTTGTAGAAAAGAGAAGATTTAACTGTGGATATCATTTCTGTTGTTTTCCAATTGATTTTACCCAATAGCTACACTGAAACAATTCACCCCTGCAATGTTGTTTCAAAATTACATCAACATTCATTCTGTACCATGTTTCACAAAACATTATAGATACGCATCCGATGTTCATCATATTCATATTCATGATATGAAGCTTGAGAAGGAGGTGATATATCTGTGGATTCGTACATATAATTTTGTTGTTGGTTTGATAAGTTCCCATGCATGTTACAGTGTCATTTTAGCCAATAGTTACACTGTAACACAGTGCACTGTTGTTATTCAGAATAACATTAACATTCATTCTGTATTATGTTTCATAAATCATTTCATAAGCACATGTGCTCCATATTTTCATATTCATGATATAAAGCTTATTTGTCTGATAGATATTAACAGTGATGAAATGTCATGAATGTATTACATATCAACATTACAACATCCACACGCTGTACTGCATATGTCTAATATGATCATGATCACATTATGAACATGGTGTTGCCATGCATACTTAACATGACTTCTGTCATATCAGCCCTACAACACGTCATATCAGCCCTACAACACAGCCCTACAACACGTCATATCAGCCCTACAACACGTCATATCAGCCCTACAACACGTCATATCAACACGTCATATCAGCCCTACAACACAGCAACACGTCCTACAACACGTCATATCAGCCCTACAACACGTCATATCAGCCCTACAACACGTCATATCAGCCCTACAACACGCCATACAAACACATATCAGCCCTACAATATCAGCTCCTACAACGCCATAGCCCTCAACACAGCCCTACAACACGCCATATCATATCAGCCCTACAATCCCTACAACACGCCATATCAGCCCTACAACACGTCATATCAGCCCTACAACACAACAACACATATCATATCAGCCCTACAACACGTCATATCAGCCCTACAACACGTCATATCAGCCCTACAACATGTCATATCAGCCCTACAACACGGGCATCGTCTACAACAGCCTGAAACACATGTGTATTGTTTGTTTAACATATTTATAGTCCTTTTGTCATGTCGAACTGAGATGGTGATCATTACCTGAATTAGCTGCTGACTTGATTACCATTCGTATCATTATAGGGGCGGTGGGGTAGCAAATATTTATGTGAAAACTCAATTCCTATTATACAAGTTTGCTTGAAGTTTTGTAAATACTCAATAAATGTGATCTTACATGTGTACACACAAAAATGTCAAATCATAGCTTGCGTACCGGTGGATAGATAAAATAACTGAGGTATATTGAGAGGTTCTATCTCAGGACATGAACTTGACAACTTGCAGTCTTTCGTATCATTTCTCATATTACCTATCAAATGTAAATCACAAACATTAACACTTAAACTTTATTATATTTTCAAAATTAATGGATAATGGCGAAATACCCAATTGAGGTTGAGTGAGGTGAGTACAATTTATTTGGTTACTCAAAGCAAAATTAGGATACCCAATTGAGAAGAAGACAAGCGAGTACATAACTCAATGACCCAAAAGATATATGTAGCTCTGATAGTTTGAGACAAGCAGAGAGCCAGTATTAAAACTAACTGGTACTTCAGAGTCAAGCAGAGAGCCAGTATTAAAACATGCCATCAGTTTTAAGACAAGAAGAGAGGCAGTATTAGAGCACAGTTCAAGAGCATAGCATGGATATTAAGCCATAGTTTGAATCAAGAGGAGTTCAAGCATTACACCACTTTGCCAATAATGTTTCTGCTTGGAGCATATAGTTAATATCAAGGTTAACCGAGCATAAGTTAATGGGATTTCACTGCATTTAATCAGTGGCGCTGTATGGAGATAAAGGTAATTTATTTGATGAATGATGTAGAGAAAGTCATTAATAAAGTGAGAAGCATTGAACAGTGTCTCATGGGAAACCAAAGGAACTGGATGTTTCCATATTAGCAACAATCAAATAAGTATCATCAAGTAAACACAATATATGATATATTTATCTCCTGGTCTTTATAATCATCCTCTGGATAGCTCATGTGTTAACTGACATATATTCCCCTGTTAATAAGGAGATGCTGTTGCTGTTATCACATGTTAATTCAGTCTCCAAGGCAGGATTGAATTACACACTTAATCAATGATGCATAACCATGATAGAAGCCCATTAGAAGATCCCAGGCCAGTTAATTGAGAACACAGAGAGTTATTTTACACATGATGGGGTAAGCATTTAAGCCTAATTGTATTGCTGCGTTCTTTACCTCAGCAACTGGAATTAGTCATCAGGTGTATGCTCATGAAATACATGTAAAGAGAAATTAACCAGGGTCCTTCCCACAGTAACGGTGACAGCTTCAGATAAAACTGCATATTTGTGAAAAATATGCACCATAAATCATGATAACCCAATTAATTCTGAATCACTTGCGTACAAATACATGGATATTTTTCTGACAGAACAACAATCTACTTAATCCCACAATACATCCTTTTCAACATAGGTATGTGTGTTTTTTACAGATGTATCTATTGCTGATCAAAAGCAGGCATTACACATAAGTGATTTCTCTGAAGAAATGCATAAAAAGGCACCATAACTTGCTTCTAGGTATTTATGCAATGTGTTACGCACTTGGAACAGCACAGTAACAGATACAAACTAAAGTCATCTGAAACTGCATTTGAAGCAAACTGTTTTCTAATGTCTACTGATTGATGTAAAGTTACCCAATCATCTGCACCACAAGGAGTAAATATATATTGAATAAACAATACCAAAACTAACTACAGCAATACCTAAATGATAACATGCAAGTTAATACTTGAGGGCTAAACATTTACTGGAGTATTGCATAAGGATAAACATGGCCTTAAACGAGTCTTTAAAAAGATATTTTAAAGAGTTTGAAAAGGCAAAATATACATCATGTTTTTGCTCCCTTCGGGAATTTCTGGGCTGAGTAGCCCCTGCCTTTTGTAAGAATGTGCTGAAAGTATCAGGGTCTGGTATTCATAATGTAGAACCTGCAAAATTCTCTGTGATCATATCCCAAATGGTGTGGATCAATCCCCATGCTCCCTGACCCCGTATGTCTTGTTAACACTTGCTTACTTCCAGGACATGTAGACTAACATCCTGTCTCCAAACTGAACATATCTAACAGAAAAAAGACTGTTCCTAAATAAAATATAATAAAAAGAAGCACAGAGACTTGGTAATCTTGTCTTGTCACATATTCTAGACTGAATGGGCTGTATTGGGAATATTTGTTTTAGGGTCTGTATGACAGGCTACAGGAAATTGTGATCATGGTGATGTACCTAACATATTTGTAAGAATAACATATTTCTGGCTATGCTGTACAAAAGTGTTAAAAGCCAACCTTCTTACTGACCTCAAATGCCTTCGCTCCTGAATCGTAACACATGTCCATGTTGCTGTGCACCTTTGAATTTGGCAGGAAATGGAAACTTTTTAGACGAAGTTTTAAATTAAATACATTGTACTGTATAAACAGTGATTCAGCCATCTCGTAATGAACTGTAAACTGCTGACCAGGATGCCTCAGGCAAACATGAAACTGCTTATGTTTGAAACTGTGTGATTTCAATGAAACGTGTTTACAAAAATATATATTTTAGGAAAGTCATGTGTATTTTAGTAATAAAGATTATCACGTTATGTTTTCTCAAGTTTATACAGAGCAGGATAAACATAGCAATCAGATTAAAAAACCTTGTAGCTCACCTATATTGTCAAAATCCTCACCACATATATTGTTCATTACAAAAAGTCTCTGAGGAATATTTGATAAAAAGCCAACAATGTATTCTCCAACATATCCAGCTTTTGAAGTTTTATCAAAGCAGCAATACACGAGATGTTTCTAAAGTGCTCAAGTAATATAAACAAATCTTATTTTTCCACATGCCATTCATTCACATTGTTATCCATAATATTTGTCCATATGAAATTTGAAAATTGTAGTTGTGTGAGCTTATTATAACATAACACCACAGGGATCTTCTGATAAGAAGCCAGCCAGTATGAGAGTGATCATAACATCCATATTTGATCAGGTGAGCAAAAACCAAATGGATATACTTTCTGTGACTGATACCATCGTCATTTTGACACAGCTGGTTCTACACTATATGGCATAAACTGTGAATATCTGAAATCTCACTGTTACAATGACACAACTAGAGTTTAATATTAAAGGTTTCATAATCACTGATCCTGTTAGCTTACTTTTAATTAAAGGCAACAAAGGAAATCATCGTGCCTTTCTCAAATCCAAATCATTCCCTAGGTGCAGAAAATGCATGTTTTTAGTTAAACTCTTTACCATGTACACTTTGTCTTTTGCTAACATCTGCTTTTGTAAGGTATCAATCATCAGGCTTGACATGTTCAAAGGACAAAAAATATTTCAACTAGCTTGAACATGATTACAGCTTCACCAAATGTATTTTTTCAAATTTCTCTCAGGACATACATTGTTCAGAGTGTCAAGATGACACAGTTAGCTTTTCTTGCCTGTGAATCATGCCTGTGCATGTATTGGTTCACAGCCTTGATTCAGCCCCACCATGGACTGCCTTAGTATGAACCTCAATTAGGCCAGTCTTTCTGGACATTCTGGATTCCAGCAGTGGTTGTTTGGCTGCACTAATGGCAGTTGACATACAGGAATAATTTTCTGTAAAATTCTGACATGTTTCTGCTGTTTGAAGTAACCCAGGTCCCACATCACCAGTCCCACATAATCATGTTCCAAGAATGGCATGTTGGGCATCAACCAGCACTCAATTCATCAAGGTGCTTTTTACAGCCTTTTCTACAAGATAAACTCCAGAGTTGAAAACTCCCTAATCTACAGCAGCAGAATGGTGGTGATGGACCAGGTGGTCCAAGTAATAAAACAAATATATGTTTTGCTTTCCTGATGTCTTGTATTTACATGCTAACAGACTGCTTGTGATCTGAACAAATTAATAGACTGCCCGTGATCTGAACATATTTAAGCGTTAAACAACATAAATATCCAGATTATTATTGGTTGACTTAAGAATGTCCTTTGAGAGTTAAAATGTCCGTAAGGTAGCCCTGAAGATTAACTGGTCAGTCTTCAAAATAACTATCAAAGCCATTTTTCTATTCATAACAAACATATAACCTGGGAAATGTTTTGCCTGTTCTGTTATTGAAAGAACTGTGTAACTTTTCGGTGTCACAACTCACCATGACTGCGATGCCTTTCAGTAACTGTATCTTACAGAAACAAAAGTCTGTCTCACAGTCCCTGATCCACAGTATTTTCCCCACTGCCAAGCCCTCTCTGCAGTGCTAAAGCCCTAGATGAAGCAAGTCTAGATTTCCCCAGGTTCAGGTTCTGAATCTCTGGTCTCTCTGGGGCTCCTTTTCAATTTAAATGGGCTTGTTTGTTACTATCAAAATTATATATATTCAGAGACTAAGCATTAGTCTAAGAAACAAAAAGCGATGCTCACCTTGCCTACTGATGAAGGAGAAGACTTGTTACTTCCGCCTTCAGAGTTACAGCTACAGAGGCTCCCTGAGGATGGGGATGCACAATCAGATCGGTTGTAAAGTCCCGAGTTCTTCAGAAGGTTACGTTCCACCAATCGTCTGATTGGCGTCACATTGCCATTATGTTGGCGCTGCTGGTACTGTGGCATGGCCAGAGAGTCTGTGCTGCCACCATACATACTACTATCTGGCACCAAGGTAGATGTGGAGCTTTAGCGCTGAAGGTCCATGATGTCATGGCCATTGGTCACATGTCCTTTTGCCCTTGGATCAGAAGACCAATTAACCACATCCTCCACAGCCGATGTGCTTTGAGTCCTCTGTCCACAGTCATCATAACAATCAACATCATTAACAGATGCAGCAGGCCTCCGAATGTTGTGGTTCAGTCTACCATTCAGATATCTACTTTGAGGTAAATTCACATAAATTATTCTATCATCTGGTGTTGAGGAATCAGCAAAGACGTCATCGCTGGAGATGCTGAGTTCATTGTTTGACGTACACAAATTGCTGTTAAGGAGTATTCCACCGTTCGCATATCCGCCATTGTCACTATTGCACTCTGTAGGCAGGCAGGTGAAAGACTGGGAGATTCCGTGGGAGTAGGGTCCAGTGACTCCTGTAGGTTTCGAGGGCATGTCCTGGAGGGAAGGTGTGTGTCTAATGGGCAGTGGTGGTGGAGGCGCAGGCCTCTTTCTGCGTCTCCGGATGGTCATCACAACCCGCCCTGATCGAATTGCATTACACATCAGCAACCTGAAAAATAATGTAAAAATTTCAATCTTTCATGAAATAAAACAAATTTCTGTTGAGTATATATTGTAAGGAAGATTTGTTTGTATCAAATTCTTGTATCATTCTTCACACAATTTTCTGTGTTATATTTCATCCATATGTCTTCATGTCAGTTGAATTCATATATTAAATAATAATTCCTATTAGGATGCAATACAATGTCTTCAGACATAACACTGACAAATTTATATATAACCACTTCTTTTATTTTTCGAATGCCATGGTTTGGTACAGATTCTTTTTTCACCTTGTCTAGCAGGAATCTGTACCTAAATGTTGCACTCGCAAAATAAAGAACTTGTTATAGAAAATTATCCCTAAATTTGTCAGTATTGTACTTTCCCTACTTCTACAATGCCATTCAAAGAATTCTTCGAACATAATGGTACGGTTATGTTTATGTAAACAAGTTACACTACACAGGGTTGATTTAACCTGACAGAATAATTATTTTCTCCACAACAAGATCATAAATATAGATAATGATATATAGTATATATTTTTTATCTGCTTAATTAGGATTTTAAGGTTATCTAATTACTCCATATTTGTTCATTAACTTTGTTTTTACCATGTCCCCTCCAGATGATATTTAGACAGCATGACCTTCAACCCTGACATTCTAGCAATGTTGGCAGCAGTAGGCACTTCCTACTTCTTATAATGAAAGTCACTACAGATAAGTCAAAATACCACCAATATTGCCTTCAGCTGACCACTTCCATGGTCATTCTTATACAGTCTTGGACTTCATCTAATTTAGCTTAAAATTAGTGCAAATCAATAACACGCTATTTTTCTTTGCATTTCTCCATTCATTCATTTGAGGTTTAACAAAGTTCCACTAGAATTGTTTTACATTTCTTAGGCCCAACAAGCATTCTACAGATCTATCTTTATGCCATGCAGCCTAAGTGAACGCCCGGACATAAACATCCTGATGAATGAAGTTCAGTTATCTCATGTGACATAACCTTGGAGTAATTACGGCATTGTAAAAATAAGAGTTTTTACCGCCATTTCACACAGGTGTGAAGCTTTTATTTGGTCCACTTTGAAATCAATGATTAAGTTATCGGTTATTCAAACTATCTATAAATGTAATCCTTGAGCATGGTTCATTTTGTGAAAATGTATCTAGGGAAGCATGCTAATAATCAAAATATTCAAAGTGAAATTACGCCTATGTTCTCATAGTACCATAAACACATACCTTCAGTTAGAGATAGTGATTTTTCCAAGAGTGGTCGTAAGACTGCTTCTCTCAATATGCCTTGATGGATAAATTAAATCAATTAATATACACCCTATTTGCTATGTCTTTCCGTAATAGGCGGATTTTTCGATAGATTTATTCTGCCCACCATCCTTTGAAAATAGTTCATGGTAAATTTGTTTTGCCAGTCAGGGACTTAAATATACCGAAGTCGGCAAAATTCTCATAGACTTCCATGCTATTTTATTGTAGCTGATAATTTGGTTCTTCCATATTTAGTTGTCAAATTATGCAGGCTGTTAGGAAATAATCTTGTCACAGATACATAATTTTCCTCAAGATTGTAGTTACATGAGCAACATATATACAACATTGCGATTCTTTCCCCATACAGACCCGCCATATGTTAAAAATTGCCATAACCATGACACGCATTGCATGGTTCCAATAAGGAGGCGGAAGTTGGGAGATATAGCAGATACTCTAGTGACCCAGTTGATATGGGCATATATAAACCAGTGGGGAATTCTACAGAACTTTAGTGATTTGACAGCAAGTATGCTCATTATTCAAATACTCTATCTTAGTAACTTTGATAAACAGATCTACATATCAAGCATAGTACATGTATTGTATTTCAAAAGAAATCTTATATGCTCAAAAAGATTAACAGATTCTTCTCTCCATACAGTGCCTTAGACATACCATTCTAAAATTTGCAATAAGAATTATTTTTTCCGAAAGATATTCATGTTTCTTAGAACTGGTATTCTTGATACATTGTAATTCTTCTTGATTCTAAAGGCAAAGATTTTTCACATACAGTTTCAAGTATATTCCCAATGTTTAAAATAACAACTTGATATTTATGCTTTCTTTATGAAGCATGCCATGCCCCAAACTAAAATGAATCAATGAAATAGCAGAAGCTAATGTCAAAGGGTAGCTTTGGAATTTTATGGTTAGTGTTGAAATGATTGAAACCATCAATTCCAGTGTATTTCCAAGTGCTATTGTTCCCAGGTGCCCATATTAATGTGTGTCTAGCAGATGAAAAAACAGTTTGTGGGAACCTCAGAGACATCCCTAAAACAGTTTTGCTATCTGTGTCCACGCTCCCTGTCTGTGTATCTGCTACAACCCATCTCAACAGTATATTATTACCAAGACCTTTACCATATGGAGTCCCCCTGTGCACCATATACAGCATAATGGCTGTTGATTTTATCTGAAGCTGGTCTTAAGTAACTTTATTCTAACTCATGTTACCAATTGCCGTTCCTTATGTTCAGAAATATCCTGTAATACAATACTCATTTTATGAAAATAGCTCTGGAATCAACTTTACGATATCAATCAAGGACATGTTTGAATTTCTTCCTGGCTATCATTGTGTAAATGGCTGATGAGTTGCTAGGTGACAATTCTGTTGCTATTCTGAAAAATAACTTCATCCCCATTTGTCTGCTCTTCAGTTTCCTCAACTAGAAAAATATCAATATGTTTCATGATTGACTTTATTTTCAGACATCAATTGCAGAAAACAGACATAAACTATAAAAGAATAGTGGCACGCAAGATGGCCATCATCATTAGTGCAGGTCTAATACACTACTTTGTTAATTCACAAAATTCAAATAAATGTATTTTTCAAGGAAACTAGTATCGCGACAAGACAAGACTCATAAAAAGAGTAAAAGGCAATCTTTTGCGTAACAAAACAAGCACCAAGCTGCAAAAAAAGTCATTTTTTTTCGAAAAGACAATCCTTCCAAGAACTCTTAAGAGAGATGAACTCATCTTTCAGTAAAAAGCCTTGTGACTAAATGACCGGAGGGATGACTTCAACTTTTCAACTGTCATGTGTCCTTTCATATGAAGCAATATGCCATCAGCTCCAGCCTTTGGTGTTTACATTTCACATTTTTTCATGTACAAAGCGCACTCTTTTTATGAAGATTTCACACAGCATCATACAAATTATACTCAGAAGTTGTTAGATCAAGGTTACAAAATTCAAAGTAAAGATTTAAATGAGATTAATAGCAGACATTTCTAAATTTGACACATAAGTGTCAAAAATTACATTTGATGCAATTCCATTCAAGTGAGTGAGTTTAGTTTTACGCCACACTCAGCAATATTCCAGCTATATGGCAGCGGACTGTAAATAATCGAGTCTGGACCAGACAATCCAGTGATCAACAGCATGAGCATCGATCTACGCAGTTGGGATACAATGACATGTGTCAGCCAAGTCAGCGAACCTGACCACCCAACCCTGTTAGTCACCTCTTATGACAAGCATGTGTTACTGAAGATCAATTCTAGCCTAGGTCTTCATGGGTTCTTTTTTCCAATGAACAATACACTTGCCTTTGCATGTGTTTATGATAGATGGTACCGAAGGGGCAGGATATGTTTACCTTCTCACAAACACCTGATATCATCACTATGTGACAGTGATTCCTAGACAGACACAAGCTTATGCTATTGTCATCATGTAATAGACTCCAACCTTGATTATATAAGCAGACTGCATCACCAATACAATTAGTATCATAATTTCGTTCCCACGCCACAATTTTAGATTACTGTAAGCTGAAGCCTTCATCAAAGCCAGTCATTACACATCAATCTGTGGCGGAGCTGGGAATCATGTCATAACAATGACCACAGGGTCTACCAATAATTGACTGGGAACTCGGAGCCTTCTATTCAAGTACAGTGTGAAATGAAAGAAAAATTGAACAGGATTCCTGGCTATTGGACAGACCTGCCTGTAAGCTTAACTCACTATATTGTCTGGTCAGACTCAATCATTTACAGACTCCAACAATAATATGGCAGATGTATTGTTGGCTGTGGCAATGGACAGCAAACACTTATGTTCTAAACGGAAATTGGGTGGTGGTTGCTCCCTGGTGAGCAGCATGAACACCTGGTGTCAACACTGCTTTTCAGTTATCCATATGCATTGTGTTTATCACTATTCATGTGTCTCTTACACCCTTTGGAATTTGTTTCGGCAGGTAACTGAGGCTGACTTTTCTCTGGCACTGACATTTTTAATAACACTGGTGATCAGTGAACAAGCAACAAGTCCAAACTGTATCAACAATCAACTCTTAATCACAGATACTGGCATAAAGTTTTATTTCGTTTATTTTCTTTCCAAACTCAAACCATCTGTCTGAAATCACAAATAGCGGTTCTCTGTTCAACTAACTTTTCAAAAACAATACTCTGTTATCAAATCATATTATCATTCTAAATTATAATTACAGTTCTCTGTTCAACTAACTTTTTATAAACAATACTCTGTTATCAAATCATACCATCATTCTACATATTTCCTCTCGCATCTTAAGTCTACAAGAAAGACGGATATGTGATATCATTTAAGTATTATTTTGGGCAGTCTAGCTGCCAATCCTATAATAAACTCACAGCTCCAAATACATTTGACCATTAGTGATGACTCACTTATTCTTGGAGCAAGATATATGTCACATACATGAGTGGGTGCACCGAGATCCCTGTACAACTAAATGTCAGAAGAAACAGGATATCAGGTCTGCCCAAAAACATAACTACATATCCGGGAACCAGGCTGACTCACCATTAAAGCTATGACCAGAATGATTATCAGCTCTGTAATTAATTTGTAGAAACAATCATAAACTCCTGCTGAGGTCACTTTGGTGACGGGCAAATTAGAGGTAAAAAACACTTACCATGTGAA